GGAGGTTCGTCATAGCCGCGATTTCGGCCGTATTCTTGACGAGGAGGCTCACCGTAGCCACCTCCAAATTCTTGACGAGGAGGCTCGCTGAATCCTTGTCCGCTGAAACCACCACCACCTCCGTACTCCTGTCTTGGGGGCCCACCGTATCCTCCCCGACCACCTCCGTACTCCTGTCCCGGCTCCTGATATCCACCGCCCCCAAATCCCCCGGGAACATTATAATCCTGGCGCTCGGTCTGCTCAAATCCGCCTCCATATCCCGGGCGCTCCTCGCGTCTCTGCTCAAACCGACTACCGTGGCCCTGCTCATCTTGCTCATAGCGCTGGTATTCAGTCTGGCGTCCCCCGTCTGGACGTTGCGTCTGCGTGTACTCGGCTTGAGCGTAGTTATCGCCTGCACGACCGTACTCTGTGGTCTTGTGCTGGTACTCACCAGACGAGTTGTAGCCTTGCTGCGAGTATTTCTTGGTCTGAGGCTTCTCGTCGCCATCCCCGCCGAATGCGCCACTCAGAAGAGAGCTGCCCACGCCACCAGCGAGAGCACCGACGAGGCCACCAAGAGCTCCTCCACCGGCTGCCTCTGAAGCAAATGAGTTAATGCTTTGGTTGGCCTGTTTTTCATAACCTCCTGAAGAGCCACCGTGGCCGCCAGAATGTTTCTTACCGCCCAGTGCGGACTGGAGACCGCCCATCAACCCGGCGGCAATGGCGTTGTTTCCACCCTTTCCACCCCCGGAGGACTTGGCCATACCGAGAGGCTTGCAGCATCCGTGGCCGGTATCTTCGACGCCTGGCTTGTGGTTTTCGCCGTTCAAGACGCCCTGTCTGCTGAGTTGGCCACGGAGCTCGTCCTGAGCGCGACCGCTCATGGATGTCCACCAGTGCTCAACGACCTGAAACATTTGACGACGGCCATCAGAGGCACCGTCTTGACCGAAGTCGCGCTGAGCAGGGTGATGGAAGACGCCGGAGATGATGCGGTTGACTGTGCGGTCAACATCTGCGCGCTCATCGTCCATGCATTGAATAATCTGAGGGACGACCCATTTGAGGACTTGAGAAGCGATCTTTCCCGCTGGCTCGTTGAGGACCTGTCAAGTCAGTAGATGATGCTGCTAGGCGTCTGTCCCACTTACATTAGAGAAATGATCCTTGGACAGCATAGAATGGGTAGGATCTGAACTCTCGTCGTCATTGAAGACAATAAGCTGCTTATCTTTGCTACTCTGAATGATCTCAGAGGAACCAGTGTTCAACTCGTTCTTGATCTGACTAATGATAGGTAGAACGAATGGCGCAATCAGAGAAAACACGAAGACGTTGACCTGACCCTCAAGCTGCTCAATGAGCTCAGGAAGGACTGGCACCTTCTCAATCGCCTCGGTAATGGACAACATAATCTCGTCGTGCCATGCCATGATGGGCTTGATCTCCTTGGCAATCTCTTGCATCTGGATGGTAAACCCCTCGGGCTCAAGTGGCGACACTCGGACCTGGTTCATCTGAGCAGCGGTTGCGTTCGTCTTGAGCTCGTCTGCTTTTGAAGCTTCGTCATTGCCACCGAAGATTCCCTTTGGAATCTTATTGAGAAGATCTTGCAGTAGACTGGTATCACCGTTCGCTTGATCTTGAATCGTACCCTCGAGCTCCTGGATCTCGCTCTGGGTAGCCTTGTCGGAGACCTCGCCCATAACAGAGTGAAGAAAGTCAACACCACCAAAGGTACCCGTAACGATGGGATAGACCTCAGTTCGGGCGCCTTGTAGACGGATCTTGGTTCGGCGACCAACGTGAGGGAAGATATCACGTTCGCCCATCTCGATAAGTGCTAGCTCGGTGTAGTTACTGTGAGCAGAGTAATCCTCCAAGCAATGAAGTCCGGTTCCCAAAAGGCGTAGAGCCTCATAAAGTTCATCCTTGTTCTGGCTTCGATTGTACGAGCGTCCCAGATGGATACACTGGGTAAAGAGCTTGCGGACATGCAGAGCGGAGGTCATGATACCGGCTCGCTCATTGGCAATGTAGTTCTTCAATCCAGTTTGGGGATCAATAGCCAACTCAACGCGCTCATCGACGGGACCCCGAAGTCTCCTATCATATTGTGTAGCATCGATATTATCAGCGTAGTCCTTGGGATTGTCGATGTGATCCTCGGGACGGTAGCAGCCAAGACGCTCGGTGGTCACTTCGAACTCCTTGGTTCCGAAGCCGAAGGTCATGAATCCCAGTACCCACAACAAGATACGAATAGCTTCGGCAGACACGTATTTGACGGTACCGACATCGATTGCCTGGGCTGTCAGGAGAGGGAAGACAAATCAGCTAAACTCGAAAGCTCTTTTCTATCCGACCCGGTGCAGGCAGGCAGGCAGACAGGTCGGCACTCACAGTAATCTCGAAGCCAGTTTCCAAAATAGACTCGAGCGACGGACATCTTGTCGAATTTCTTGCCGCCAGCGGCCCGCGACATGAGCAGGGTGAGGAGTGTGTCTTCGATATCGCCATGACGCCCTGAGATGCTGTCAGCCCAAGTCCTGAAGCTCCCGAGATGGGAGGTGGTGGCATGTAATTACAGTTTGACCCCTCTATCTTGGCGACGGATGCGATATTTCCCGCGCCAAAGGCGTGGACAGGTCGTGCGAGAAGCAGCACGAATGCTAGGGAGAGCAGCAGCGTCGTGGAGCTGAAGCTGTAGGACGGCATGTTTGATTTTGTCTTATCATTAGTCGGTAGTGGTCGTAGAACTCTCGGGGAAGAAGAGCTGGAGATGGATGTGGAACGAAGATGACGATGACGATGACGATGACGATGGTGGGGGTTGGAGTTGGTCTGTGATGTCAGCAAGTGCCAAGAGATGCGTGACCTAGGTACCGGTACCGGTACTGTAAAAGTACGGAGCGGAGCAGGAAGCAGAAATACATCTATAAGGTAAACATATATATACACATATATGCATATATATACACTTACAGTAAATACTGTGGAAATGACCACCAGCCGCACTTATTGGCCGTGGATGGAGGCTCTTGGATCAAAAGAAAAAGTCCTTCCCATGCAAGCCGAAAATGTTCATTCTCGTTGGCGCAAAAGTAGGTAGGTACGCACCTCAGCTGACTAGGTGTTAAGCCCTACGAGTTCCCTCGCTTCGTCTGTTTACATTCGACTTGCGACACTGTGTACACACAGCAAGCTAGCTAGCTCCGGCAGGGGGAGGCTCTATTTGGCTTTGGGGCCGGTGACACTCTGACACTGACGCTGGCACTGAACACCGAGCTGACGGGGGACGAGCTTCTGGCTCTTGCGGCAAGGTGGATAGGGAGGTAGGGAGGTAGGGAGGTAGGGAGGTAGGGAGCGAGGTAGGTAGGGAGGTTTATCTGATGAAGGAAGGGGAAATATTTCACGCAAAGCTCTTCTTCTCGACGAGACTCTATCAGCATCCGTACTCACGGATTAGGGATCAAAAGTTGGAAGACGCATATATGAAATGATGCTCCAGGTAGAGAGCCAGAGTACTGGACCGCGACGGTAGTAGCCAGTCTGGCATAGTGTCTGCCGATGACCGAAAACCGTCTTCCACTGATGGTCCTCGTCCGTGCTGGCCCGAGTCCCAGGCTCTCTCTATCTATCTATCTATCTGTCTATCTATCTACCGGGCAGCCATCTCAGCAGATATCAGGTAGCGTCGTCTCACCTCCCTTGCCGGACCTCCGTTGAGTGAGACGCAGCCCACCAACCAGCGCTCTCGGTACTCCCTCACGGCCAGGTCAGGCTGAGTTTGCCAACCGTGGACCCTGTATCAAGGTGCGTTTCCAGGCGAGCGAGCTTCCCACCTCCGCCTATCGTTGCAGGCTTAGGTACCGGTAGTGCTTAGCCTACCGCCTTACAGCCCTAAGCCAACCCTCCCCGAAGACACCGGCCGCCGTGATAGAGCCACAGCTGCCAGTTCCCGCCCCGGATAGCAGCACAGCACTATAAGTCGCAGGATCAGGTCAGGCGCCCTTCAGGGCTCTGCGATACTGAGAGATTCTCACCACCCAGACCCAGGACTCAGGGCCAAGTGCCTACTGTAGAGACTTTAGATAGCTAAGGTATCAAAACACGACCTCCATCTAATGATATAAATACCGTATATTTAGTTCTCAAGTTGTTTCAAATATTGGCGAGCTGGTTTTGATGTACCAGATCCATCCATTGAACGAACGTAAAATACCCGCCATCCTCTTTTTTTTTTTTCTTGGGGGTTTGGTTGGGTACCTCTGTAGGGGTGTGGTGGGTGTGGTGCCCCCCCAAACTCGCTAAAGGCACGGCGTTCAGGCTCTGCTAAAAACTCGTGTTCCCCCCAAACTTCCACCTGGAATTTTTCCAACCCGCATCCCCCGGGCTCTCATCAACACTGCAGCAACAACAACACCAACACCAACACCACTTCCACCACCACCACCACCATGGGCCGCGCAAAGAAGTCCGAAGAGAAGCCCAAGGAGTCCAAGGATGGACCAACTCTGCAGATTGATGTTGATCACTTCGTGCGCACCAGAGACTCGGTAAGAGGGAAAGAAATCCTTTCGTGCTTTCATCCCATCCATCTCTCTTACTCCTCCCCCTCTGCCTTTCCTCCTCCATTCGACGCGTCGCATCGCGCCGACATCATCTCTCTCGCCCTCAACCTCTCGCGCATTCCACCAACACAACCACTCCGCTCACGCCCCCCTCCCCATACATCTTCGGATGTTGCATTCCTGCCTCCACGCGACTCGACCGCGATCCTCCACCTCGACGCGCGCGCGCCATTGAGTACATGATTTCTCGACGCGACGGCCTGCCCGCCACACCAACACTGCCAACATGACTGCCACATCCATTACGCTGCAGGCGAATTACCTCAATCAACAGTCGCTAATCTGGTCGCAGGTCGTCAGCGGTCTCGCGACTCTTCAAGATGCGATCCAAACCCTCTCCTCCGCCTACATCAAGCACACCAATACCGTCCTGGTCGGGCACGGCGCCGGTCTCGACGTGGATACTACCCTGGCCAAGCTCGTCGAAAATCCCCTCCTGAAAGATATGGAGGAGAGTGCGGATCGCGCCGCCAGCCCGGCCAAGTCGGTCGTCGTCGCTGCCGAGCCCGAGAAGAAGGAGCGCAAGAAGAGACTGCACGACCCCAATGCGCCGAAACGCCCGCTCACCCCCTTCTTCCTCTACATGAAGACCGCCCGTCCGATCATCGCCAGTGACCTTGGACCAGATGCTGCCAAAGGCGCCGTCAGCACCGAGGGGACCAAACGGTGGTCTGTGATGGATGCTCATCAGAAATATGTTCGTTACCCCTCCGCGTCGTTACAGGTCCCCGATGTACAGGCATACTAACCGTCCCAGCTCTGGGGCAATGTCTACAAAGACAACCTCCGCCTCTACAATGCTCGAATGCACGCGTACAAGCAGGGTGGCAATGTAGCCGCCAAAGACATGACCGACGCTGAAGCTCTTGCCTACGCCGAGGAGCACAACATCGGCATCAACCCCTCCGACGTGCCGAGCCTCGATCCGGCCGCAGCTGTTCCAGAGGAAGACGCCGAAGCCGAAGCCGAAGCCGAAGCCGAAGCCGAAGCAGAAACCGGTGCCGATGCCGATGCCGACGACGAGCCTGAGAAAGAGCCCACTCCTCCCCCCAAGACCCCCAAGGCGAAGAACACCCGCAGAAGCAAGGGCGGCAAGAACAGTACCCCCGCTGCCGCTGCCGCTGCCGCTGCCGCGTCCCCCGAGGCGATCATGCCCCCGCCCAGCGCCAGCAGCATCGCGCCGCCCAAGCCCGCCGAGAAGGAGAAGAGCCCGGAGAAGAAGCGCAAGCGGGGCAGCAAGAAGGAAGAGGAGAAGGTGGTGGTCGAGGAACCGGCAGCCGAGACGCCGAAGAGCGCGCCGAAGCCGCGGAAGAAGAAGACCAGGTCTGATTCGTAAGATGTTCGTTCTGCGGAGTCAACACTTTGTTTGTCCGGTTCTACCGCCTCTCTATGAGCTTTGCTGTTGCTGAATTGTCGCGTGCGGTGGGGGGTATCGAGGATAGGGCTCGGGTCGTACTTGGGTTTGCAGAAGATGTGAGCTAGACCCTCGATTCTTACGAAAATGAAAGGTACTGAACATGGGACTTGAGACTGGCTTGGCCTGGCTTGGAACGGAATGGAACGGAACGGACTGGACTGAAACGGCGCTCATGTTTTCTAAATTCATCCATCCATGGCGTAGATAGATACTTACCTACCTACCTACCTACCTACCTCCCTCCCTACCTCTTTACCTAGCATGAATGAATGAATAAATGAACGAACGAAATAGGCCTTTCCAGCAGCTCAAAGCGAGCGATTACTTAACCGAGTAAGCGACTGACTGACTGACTGACTGACTGCGTAAGTGAGTAAGTAAGTAGTTCGTTAATCTTATACGAACACCATCTCCCAAAGCTATTCATTCATTCAATGCACTACCTACCTACTTATCATTTCTACCCACTTACTTACTTACCTCCCTCCCTAGCTTGAATAAATAAATAAATGAACGAACGAAATAAG